AATACTATAACCAAAATTCAATTGGACCTCCAGGAGGTATCCAAGCAACAAAACTATTCTTGTAAAATTCACCTGTTTGCAAGTCACAAGTAACTCATTCATAAAACTCAAAATGCTCTTACCGGTCAAGATGATTTCCGCACCCTAACAGCACAATGCCTAAGGCTTTTCAAGTAGCTTATTCCTAATTTGTAAAATTGTCTGACTTGGAATTAGAAAATTTGGATTAGCGTAAGTAGACAAGTCACAAACGATCTGGTGTTAACGAAAACAATTTGGCTACAGCATGTGAACTTGAACTTCCCTACAAATATCACCAAATGATGTGCCAAGTATACATAAAGATACCGACACACCCAAACTCAATTGAGATAAGCAGTGCCCAAATGTGTGCCCAACAGCGCACACTTCCGAGTTCTATAGGCACAAATAAAATGCTAACGCACCCATGCAATATTAATAAGTGCTCCGTGCACGAGCTACAGTAGTACATGTTGAAATGCCAAGTTGAAATGTAATGTGTTCAACTTTCGTGAATGCGAGTGCGAATAGCCGCCGTTTACGTCACAAACTCACATTCGTGTTACCATGGGCGCCTGCCCTTTTGAAAGGCATGTAATTGGAAGCAGAAGTATTTTTTTCTGGACATACAATATGTTAAACAGAATGAGCTGCTTACGATCGAACAAATGTGAATTGGCCCATGATTGGACGTGTCATGCTGTTTAAAAACATATATGCTGTAGGTCGCTTTGCGGTCACGCTGGTGTTGGGTTACCAAACCAACAATCATTGATCTGAAGCGTGATTGGTCAATGAGGAACATACATTATTCATACTGGATAATTTCCATATCGTCTCACCTCCCCCCCCCCCTTCCATTTGTCTGAGATTTGCGATGCAAAGTAAAGAAAAACATGAAACCCGGTGACATAATATAATCAAGGCTGTACGTGCTCTTATGGAGAACGGGTTGGACTGTCACGTAAGGACAGTGCAGTGTGTACACGCATGTACATACATGCACAATATGAACTGCGGGATTTGAGCGTACGTGTGATGGAATCGGGTATATACCGCGATATTGCAGTACGGGTAATACTATGCGTGGCCAGCGATATGCGTTGCTGATACAGCACAGCCTTGCATTCAAGGCTATTTTCGTTTACATCATGGCGCTGCAAAAATAAACTTTGATACTTACACTGCGCGCGATGTCAGACAAACGGCGCCATGATGAAAATCCAGAGCGACACGATATGTCTATACATGTAACTCTAAAATAAAATTATATTTTGACGGTATGAAAAAAGGAAAGGCTTCTAATTTAAATTGTAAAGGTTCCGTTATGATTATCAATTTTTTTCGTAAAGAAACAGTATTGAGAAAAAGAAAATCGATAGTAGATAGTACATGTTGACCGATAATCATGGAACGAGGATGGCTGAATGACTTTTTCGTCAGTTTGCGACTCATGTATGGTTTCTTGACGTCTGCAATGCGATACTACCGTTGAGACCAAGTTAAACAAAATCATCACCAGGGCAAAAAATTCTTGCCGTGGATCTTGAGCGTAATGGACTGGTCTGTTCATCGCCACATGGCCTGTGAACGTAACATGTCATGCGTGCAACAATTTTTGGTACTCTTTGTTTCATACTCTACGCAAAAACTAGTGTAATTTCAATGTCAATCCAGATCAAAATGGGAAAATATTTAAGTTTATTACATGATTGAACTTACTCTCCAAATTACGACAAATGTTTTAAAATTTTAACTTTTAAATAAGGAATGAAAAATGTAACCTTTTGAAACAAAATCGTTGGGCGTGTGTATGTTGCGGGCGTTCATTTTGTACACATAGTGATCACCAGTTGCAACCAGCCTGTGCGCAAGCCCTACCTGAACAATGAAAAGAGCAATGGGAAATATGAACATGCAGCTAGACCTCAAATTATGGGCTGGACTTGCCTCGTCGAGCTTGCTCCAAAATTCTCAATTTGTGAAAATGGTGGTGTCTCAGAATTAACAGAATCATCATAACATGACCTACTGGTGGGCCTTGACATTATAGACTGTGCGATGATAAACTGCAAACCACATGCACATTTTGTGGATTGACGTTGGTCGCACCGTGCCGGGCACAGCAACTCTACAATAATATTGAACCGCGTGAATGTCAAAACTGTTTTGGTTTATTTCGGTTTATTTCAAGTTTTTCATAAGATGACTTAACCGACCCGACCTGACCTGACCCAACAGTCACAGTTGCAAATGTAAAATCGAAACCGACCCGACTGAAATGATGGAAAAATGGCTCGACCTGACCCGAAGTCCGTTTCGGGTCCAGTCAGTTTCGGGTCGAGTCGGTTTCGGGTCAGGTTTGCTCAACATTACAACAGACTCCGAATCGATGTGTGGTGACTGGAATAATATAAGTCTATCTGGGCCCCCCTACTGGGACTACATGTACAGAGTTTAGAGAAATTAGGAAACGAAATGAGAATTATTGAGACAGGACCCACCTCTGGATTGGTGCCATATGAAGTTGCATGATGGTGGCTGCAGAGTTCCACACCACTCCTGCAATCGCATACCTGTGCTGCCATCCTTCCCGCATCTCCCATGGTCGTGATATGATGCATGCCTTGCCAGACACTTAATTGGCTTACGTTCCCCACCAAATCAGCTTACATGTCCTGGAGTCTGTAGAAAATACAGAGGGGCACACATTAAGTTAATTAAGGCCCTACAAACTTCTGCAACCTGCTCATATGAGCATGATAATGCCTCATAAGTATAATTCCGGTCAACTCCCTGTTTCATCTCCAACGTATATTAATTGATTCCCAATGTTTGTGGGAGCAGTTCATCATGAAAACGCCCTCTCATGGCAGCAGGTTATCGCAGCTGTGGGTTAATTATAATCTACAACAGACTCGTGTGCATGATCGCGCGTGCGTGATCGCGTTCATCACTTTCACCCTCTATGTGAATGCACCATCTATGGCTGACGCACGCTGAAATGAAATGTCATGTACATCTCCCCTCTTTAGAAAATGTTCCGATCAAACTCCAGTATCGTAACAGGATGTCTTGCAACTGGATGCAAAATTTGAATCGTAACAAAAGGCAATTGGTCAGGGTTTACAGTTAACTCAACCGTTTGCCAATAACTCAATTTGAACTACTTCAACCATTTGCCAACTCAAGTTACTCAACCGTCGTGCCAACTCAACTGTTGAGACAACTTTGTTTGTTAACCAACTGGAACTAAAAGGTTTAGTTTAGTCTACTCGACCATTTGCCAACTCGTCTGTTTTAATACTCAACTTAAATCAAAAAAAAAAGTCCAGGTAAATTGGAAGTAACTTGACCAAAATATCAAAATCTAAACTTCCCGAGTCATTGCACTGTAAAAATCTGCATCACCTACATGTATGCAAAACATCTCAACAAATGTTTCTTCATATTGTCCCTTTTGTATATTTCAAGTTCCATCTTACATGTATAATAAAATTGGAATGATTATTCACATGTCCTGGTACAAATACTTTGGTCCAAAGATATGCTGAATTACTGAAAACACCTGCTTTACAGAGAAGACCTACATGTACCATTTTACCAACATGACCAACGCTGATTTTCATTAAGTTTTAGTAAGGAAAATATTATTTCAGAGTGTTTATTTAAACTTAGTCTGAACTGGTAAAAGCACAAGTCAACAGCAAAAGAAAAATACGGTATGAATTTCCTCGAATCAAAATCGGTGTCGGAAATGTGTGCCTGACCAAAGGCTCTTATTAACGGAGAAATGCAGAACGACATTCATGTGGAAGAACGCGACATGTCCGTGGCCTAGCCGTAGCCACTTGACCCCAATACTTTGCCTTATTAACTCGGCTGAGATGCCTTGTAAGAGCCAAACTCGTGCAGGCACAAATCTGCAGATCGCAGAGTGCTTCAAATTGTTTGCCTTCTGGTCATGGAATTCATGTGTGGTCTTTGAAACTAAACTTTATCACAGAGTGCTGATGTGCCAATGGTTGCGCTTGATTAACTCGATGCATGCGATACGCAACTACATGTACTACAAGGGAGTTTGCGTTACTAAAAATGAAGTGACATTTGGGTATATACCAGACTAGTTGAGTTCGTTCCTCGGAATCGATAGCACCGCCTATCGAACTTTCAAAAGTATTTCAGTCAGATATGATCAGATCATATACATTTATTTTAGAATTTTTTTGTGGTTTTTTCCAAAATGAACAATAAGGTTTTGTATGCTCGAGACCCCACAAGATCTCGAGACTTTTTGTCTCGATACTGACACGTGCTTTGAGACGTTGCTTTTACCCATCAAACAACACCAACATTCCAGAGGTGCGAGACGAGCTACATGTGTACATGTGTCCTTTTTGTGTATGACACAACGAACGAGTCGGACAATGGACGAGTCGGACAACGGTCAAGTCGGACAACGGACAAGTCAGACAACAGACGAGTTGGACAACAGACCAGTCGGACAACGGACGAGTCGGACAACGGTCAAGTCAAACAACGGACCAGTCGGACAACGGACCAGTCAGACAACCGACCCGTCAGACAACAGACCATAGTCGGACAACGGACCAGTCGGAAAACAGACAAGTCGAACAACGGACCAGTCGGAAACGGACCAGTCGACAACGGACCAGTCGGACAATTAACGGACCATAGTCAGACAACGGACCAGTCGGAAAACAGACCAGTCGGACAACAGACCAGTCGGACAACTGACCAGTCGGACAACTGACCATAGTTGGTCAACGGACCAGTCGGACAATGGACCAGTCGGACAACGGACCAGTCTGACAAGGGACCAGTCGGACAATGGACCAGTCGGACAATGGACCAGTCGGACAACGGACCAGTCGGACAACAGACCAGTCAGACAAGGGACCAGTCGGACAACTGACCAGTCGGACAACGGACCAGTCGGACAAGGGACCAGTCGGACAATGGACCAGTCGGACAACAGACCAGTCGGACAACTGACCATAGTTGGTCAATGGACCAGTCGGACAATGGACCAGTCGGACAACGGACCAGTCGGACAACGGACCAGTCGGACAAGGGACCAGTCGGACAACGGACCAGTCGGACAAGGGACCAGTCGGACAATGGACCAGTCGGACAACAGACCAGTCGGACAACTGACCATAGTTGGTCAATGGACCAGTCGGACAATGGACCAGTCGGACAACGGACCAGTCGGACAACGGACCAGTCGGACAGTCACAAGGGACCAGTCGGACAACGGACCAGTCGGACAAGGGACCAGTCGGACAATGGACCAGTCGGACAACAGACCAGTCGGACAACTGACCATAGTTGGTCAATGGACCAGTCGGACAATGGACCAGTCGGACAAGGGACCAGTTGGACAACGGACCAGTCGGACAAGGGACCAGTCGGACAATGGACCAGTCGGACAACAGACCAGTCGGACAACTGACCATAGTTGGTCAATGGACCAGTCGGACAATGGACCAGTCGGACAACGGACCAGTCGGACAACAGACCAGTCAGACAAGGGACCAGTCGGACAACGGACCAGTCGGACAACGGACCAGTCGGACAAGGGACCAGTCGGGCAATGGACCAGTCGGACAACGGACCAGTCGGACAATGGACCAGTCGGACAACGGACGAGATGGACAAAGGACCAGTCGGAAAACGGACCAGTCGGTCACAGAACCAGTCGGACCACCGACCAGTCGGACAACGAACCTGTTGGACAACGGACCAGTCGGACAATGGACCAGTCGGACAACGGACCTGTCGGACAACAGACCAGTCAGACAATAGAGAGGTCAGTATGCTTTTCTTTTCTTGTTTAACAACCCTAAAAATTGTGTTCATTGAAATAGAATGGCACAACAAAATAAATAAATTTTAAATTGTTTTACTAAAATTACAAGTTTGCTCTTTGGAAATATAACAATTGAGTCGCAAAATCCAGTGAAACAAGTAATTTTTAGTGTCAAAAATGTTAAACATATCATTGGAATCCTTATTAAATAAACAACAATTTGATTTTTGAATCAGATTTTTAATCTTTATCATTCCAAAAAAATTATGATTTTCTTTCCAGGTTCACCACACGAGGTCAGCCGTGTCCTAGCTGGCCCACATGATCTCCGCCAGACAATGTCAGATGGCCCGTCGTGACATACGGAAAAAGAACAGTACAATCTTGCTTTGCACAACGCAGCAACATGGAACATGCGTACTCGCAATTGTTGTTTCTGCATGCCGGACATAATTATTTACCCATTTGTTTTTTTCAGAGAAAGGAAAATTAATTGACAAGTACATCTTTTATTAATTAATAGATACAAAATTATTTTTCTTTTGATGATTTGAAATCACGCAACCCAAGGTTTATGTCGAGATGCATACACACATGTATAACGGACGAGTTGGCAAACGGTCGAGTTGGCAAATGGTCAAATTGGTAAACGGTCAAGTTGGCCAACAGTCTAGTTGACTCGAAAGTTAAGTCGAGTTGGTCAGCGGAAGAGTTGGTACGACAGTCGAGTTGGTAAACGGTCAAGTTGAAGTCAAGTTTGTCAATGTGGACGAGTTGGCAAACGGTCGAATTGCCAAATGGTCAAATTGGCAAACGGTCAAGTTGGCCAACAGTCTAGTGGACTCGAAAGTTAATTAAGTCAAGTTGATCAGCGGAAAAGTTGGTACAATGGTCCAGTTGGTAAACAGTCAAGTTGGTTTGAGTTTTAGCAAATGGTCAAGTTGACTTGTCATGTCCAAAATAGCAACGAAGGTCTGAGGTGCGCAGCCAGACGAAGATTCATCATGGTAAAACACTCACATGCACATGTTCACTGTACTGCCATGCTGATGAAAGAACGAAAACGATTGGGGGCTCAGGTTCATCGTTACACCACTGCAAAAACACTGGTCATCGAAACTCTACATGTATACCACAATAAACTGTGCCATATCAAACAGAGTACTTTGGTAGTTCTAACAAATGCAATTGACTGAGGGTTCCAGGATTAAATTCGTGATAGGCGGACACAACTTTGCCTGACCTAGGGTCAATGCGAGGTGAAAACAAAAGCTTGAACGTACCACACATCATGATAGAGCATTCACCTTGGAATGTTTTCACCCCGCTAGCCGTGATGAGCAAGTTGCATAACTTAATGCATCCTCCTATGCCAAACCTTATTTTCTTTTCTTTTTCTTCATTTTTTTAAATTTTTATGTAGGCTACATGTACTTTTAATTTATATTTTTAATCAAATCCTACACTTTTTATTGAAGTAGATATCATTTTCTTCTTCGTGACCTTTGGCTTTGGGAAGAAATTTAAGGCAAACAAAAACCCAAGAATCGTACACTTGATAGTCGGGTTCCCAAGAGCCAAAGATCCTGATATTGCTCTAATTAGGTCAGGGAACCAGATGGTCTACTGCCGTAACAACAGCCACTGCGTTTCTAAAAAAGTTGTCATTCTTAATCAGAAGTTTTTTCACTTGATATTTTCTTCGCATACTTACGTTTCATTAAACAGGGAGGCCAGATTAATGCGTCTCTGATACTAGCTAGCTGACCTCCATATATAACCATTTCCTGAACACAGTGTAATTGAGAGTCCCAAATTTTCGGACATTTTACAACACATTTGCTATGGGCATCTGGCTATTGGGGGCGCTGTTCAAAGCGGATGATTTGGAAAGATTCCAATATCTGGCCAACACTAGTGCACACAAACCGTATGAGACTGCTCTGAAAATGTCTAAGTGTTTTCTCAGTAAATATAGGCCTACTGCAATATTTTCCCTGCAAAATTTGGCTTTTTATGACAATATTAAAAAAGAAATCACTTTCTGATGGCTGATCGGTCACTAAGTGAAGTGAAAAGTTAGTGATGGCCATAATTATGGCCAATCTTTCTGTCAAGAAAAATTTTGGAAAGATTCCCGGTATCTGGCAATCATTAATTTTTCCCTTCAGTGACCTATCAGCCATAAAAAAGTGATATGTCCTAAAAAGTCAAAATTAGCAGGGAAATACTGAAGTATTCACTAAGAAAACACTTGGAAAATTTCAGAACAATCTCATAGGGTTTGTGCACAGGGGGACAAGTGATGGCCAGATATGGGAATCTTCAGTTCCAAATGTTTTAAGTATACTTAACAAAATTGGAATTTGGAAATGTTTCTCTGTCCAAGATTAATCTTTTCAACATTTTTGCAATATGACTGACATTTTAAGATAACAAATGTGTTATTGCAAGAACATAAGGGGGCGTCAGGTTCAGTTGCAATGACTCAATGTTAATTATCAGTACAGAATTAAATGTTGAATTTATAATTAGAAGAAATGGAAATGAAATGAGAAATACACATAGGGTAAGGGAAACTCTATAGCCTTGTAAAAATGTCAATTGTCATGGAGGGCATTGCGAGGTGACCCCCCCCCCCACAACCCCTCCTACAACCAACCACCAACCAACCCTGCCACCGCCCCCCCCCCTCCCCCTGCACCGCCCTACCCTCAACAATCATATAAAAAAAAATACTACATGGTATATGCTTTCTCGAAACTCACCTCGTTGTGAATGCTACGTTTTGGAAGGCCGACAGTGACAGCGACCTATGCAGTGACACGTCAATTGGGCCGAATGTGGTCGCACTGAACGCAGTCTGCCGAAACTGCCGATTCAATATTTCCATGGATCCACTACACAATTACAAGCCGTTGGCAAATAAATCCTTGGGCAAAATGACTCTTTGAGCGTTAAGAAACATCGCGAACGGGTCTCTGAGGCATGATGCATCGGTCAAAATGAGATATTTGGGGCTTCAAAACGTTGCCTATCCGTCGAAGAAAACCAAGCAAGATGGAGACCTATAAAGTACGCATGCGCGTGACGTGTGAAATTTGAAACTAGGCCGAGGCACGTGCTTTGTGCAAAAAAGTGGGTATACGTACCGCTGCACCATTTATGATCTTGCAAGAGGCTATGAAAAAGGAACAATACATTGAAACTGAATGTTTCCTTTCCTATTCCTCCTAAATAATCATAATTGTCATTTCTTTTTCTTTAAATTGTTTTGCGGGTTGCGTCATGCCCCTCGGAATTTTTGATGATGCAATTCTCCGGCATAAGGTTTAGAATAAATTCAGCATTCTATTTTATTACCGTATTTTTAGTACCACGCCATTATTAATCGGCTGAAAGCCCCCCCCCCCCCCCCCCCCATGGTGGATCGGGGATATAGCCTGCACGCCAAAACTTGCTCGCATTTCGAAAATAATGTTCCCAAATTTCTAAAATGATTACAATCACATAGGCCTGGAGGCTGAAATCTTAAATCGTGGCATGGTTAACAATTGGAATCAAAATGGATGAAATGGCCGTGCAGTTAGTTATAGTCAATATAAATATAATGGTAACGACTTGGAGAGACTGATTAAGATTTAAGGATTGGTAGTTGCTTGGGGCAGTAATTAATTCGGAGGTTCGAGTCTGTGTGTTCATGTCCCATAAAGCTCGTTGTGTCTTGCTTTTTAGATCCCGATGTGTTTTCCAAACTGATATACCAAGAAGATCCCCTCTTTAAAACCGTCTTTCACTCGAGGTGTTTTTTTTTCTTTTCGAGATGTGAATACGGAGACAGAGGGTCACACTAAAGGAATGCAGAATCATTCCTCCGAGGACAACATTTATCATTCAGTGAGTGTATGCGGTGACTTTTCTCAGCAATCGGTCACATGAGGTGCATCAATGGTTCAAGTTACTTCTTTTTTGACAACTGTTGTCACGATGTTCACGCGTTTTCTGCATTTTTTTCTGTAACAGAACTCGAAGTCTTCTCGATTCATCACAATATCATGGGGGCACACATCGCAAAATCTATGGCAGTTTTTCCCAGTTGGGCCCCATTGAATGTCTCGCTGTGTCCATTGACTTAAGAAATTGTAAACAGCTAGTAGGCCGAAGCCTTTGGCTAACTGGAAAAAAATACAACTTACAAAGGCCGTTTCTGGTTGGGGAAGGAAAGGGGGCATTATCATAATATCCCCCCTCCCCCCATTTAACCAAGCAGTTGACATTTATAGGTGAAACACTGAATAGAAAAAAAGGATATGTCAGAATGTCCATTAGGAATGGAATAACAAGGAATGCTCCATAGTTCATTCGAATTGTTTATTGCTTGATAGGTTGTAATCAGTTTGTTAATTAATAACCAACTTGTGATCAAATTGACAAGAGTTTTAATAATTATAATTATTAATTAATTCATAGCTTCGAATCGTTATGACACTTCGTCACCGTTTTCACGAAGAGCCACATATGTCAAAAATAACATTTTTTTTCGATTTTGATTTTTTTCTCTCAATATTTTACTTTAAAACAATGTACTTAACCATTTTGACATGTTTCTATAAGCAAAACATCATTAATTTCCAAGTTACATTAATGTTGCAAGGGGCCAAAATCTCAATAAATGAATTTTGCGAAGAGCCACATACATTTTGGCCCTTTGAACGCGTACAAAACCCATTGCACGGAAATACGTAAAAGTAGGTCAAATGAGATTTGCGTTTTCACGAAGAGCCACATATAATATCTATATCTTTGTAACATTTTCAGCTGCGCGCGCGTACTCACTCGCGCCTATGGAAATACACATTGAACAGAAAGGGCCAATATGTCGGAAACCTGAATTTGCGTTTTCACGAAGAGCCACTACTAATTAATTTTCACTAATTAACTGCTGAATTAAGTCTTATTACTGGGTTCATGTAAATATTCAGCTCACACAGAATAGTGTGATGGTTTCCTTGCTTCACAAAGTTGTTGCAAAGTGGTATTTTTTGCAGTTTTAAAATATGAGAAACTTCATTTGCGATTATCTCGAAAACACTTTTTCTTCAAAATCGACATATGTGGCTCTTCGTGAAAACGGTGACGACTTGGTGTAGCACATTCTCCTGGTCTGCAAATAATGACAATACGTCACGATGACGTAATAGAAATTGATTTTAAAATAGTTTTAGCACCTTCCACGGTAGTGCATGTAGCTTCTGTTGTTATTAAGACACGTGATTTTTTTTATAAAGACTATATATAAACCTACACTGTGAACAAAAAAAAGGAAAAATACATGTTTTGAATATCCCCATATTCCCCTTCCTTTCGGCAAAAAATGGCAAGAAAAAAATCTCATCGGCAAAAAAAACTGCGCAGTGTTATAAGTGAAGGTCGAATCGTTACTGTAGGCCCTATATGCCACATTTCAGCACTTTAACATAGTTTGGATGAATTTCTATGTAACCATTATTTAGGTAGAGGGAGTTTATTTCCTGGATATCGACCTGGGGTAGTCTGAACTACAGTATAATTATACAATAAATATTGATGTGTGCAATGGTAAGAATAGTTTATGGCGGTTACAGATATAACAGGCATGCAACTGGGAAATCACAAAAAAAGAGGAAATTCAAATTTTCCCCCGACTTTGTACAGTGTTTTTCTATTTTCAATGGCACACACGGGAAGTAAAAAAAGAGGAAATCAGCTGATCCGAGGAAAAGTTGCATACCTGATATAATCATCTTTTCGGCAAGGCAAAGCCTAGGAAATTAACATACCATCTAACACCGAATTAAATTATTCTTTATGTTGCACAAAATGTTTAATACGGAATTATTTGTTTTATACAGCGCCTGCATAAATCCTTGAATCTGATTATGTGGTAGTATGACAGTACAATGGAACTACTATTTACCGTGGAATGGAACTTCTATTTTTGCGATGAAACCGGGCCGTGTGTTAACTTGGGATCAATCATTTTAATGTCACGTGAACAACGACCTACCAATCAGATGACAGGATTTTATTCAGATATATTGATTTATTCAGTATAGTGTTAATTAATGACTTATCAAAGTCTTCACATATGAATTATTTATATAACATACATCATTTTAAAGGCTTAATTTTCAAATTGTTTCAATGCATGTTGGTGTCCCGAATACTTTACTTCAGTTTTCATTTTGCCAATTATTAAGATTATTCCAGAGCTGATTTGGTATTCATGCGCTTTTCCATACTCATAAACAAAAACTATAAATGTGAAATTACATGTCTGATTACAGCGTCACAGCAACATGGTGAATTATCTTTATCGAGTACCAGTCAGCCACTGCAAGCTGCCCGTCTGATGTGAGTGTTATTCCCAAAGGGGCATGCAGACCCTGTGCGATGCACTTGAGAAAGCCACCTTGAGGGTCATAGTGGTGGATATGACGCGTGCTAGGACCATTTTCCATTGCAATATAGATACCTGCGCTATCAGTGTACACACCGTTGCAGTATTGTACTGGTTCATCATTCATGGTGGGTTTGATAGTGCGTCGTGTAGTGCCATTGCCATCAGCCACATCCACGGCCTGCGATTTATCACTGATGACAATTCTATCGTTGCTGTCATCAACAGCTAGAAAGTAAGGTTTAATTTTGACTGGTATGGTGCGTAGGAGCTCACCATCAGTGGGGCTGTGCTCAGTCAACACCATTCTCCTGACATCACCCACTATGATGGTATCGTCATTCTTGACTGCCACAGAGTGGAGGTCAACTGCGGTCTTATCGACCTCATCACTCGGCGACACCGTTGGGAACTCGTATGCCAGCGTGTTGTTGCTGTTGAACACCTTCACATGGGATGCGCCTTCCTCAACAACCACCAAACGATCGTCGCTGCGTGTAGCTGCGATGCCGAGTGGACCTGTATGAGTCACGATGTAAAAAGAAACAATAGCTGTCAATGTTCTAAAGCTATCACGGAAAATGTTGAGGGGGGGGGCGGATTCCGCCCCCCCCCCCCCCGGCCCCTTTAGGGTTAAGGTTTGCAGATCTTTTCATTGTATGTAACTTCCGGTCTGATGACGTCATAATTTTTTCTTACACAGGTCCTGCTTGCATAAAGGTCATATATATTCAGTTTGAAGCGATTACCGCAAACGTCGCCGGACAGCAACTGAAAATTCATTTTAAACATTTTTGAACTTGCCGCTAAAGGGGGCGCGCTAACATTTTATGACGTGATCGGTATTTTTTGTAAAGTACCACATTAAGAGACTAAACATCGTTGAAAGCAAGTTCACATCTTTTTCCACTCTCAAATGATAGGGCACTTCTGGTTTGGACTGGAAGGAAGAGTCACGTGATTTGAAGATAAAATGAAGATCCTGGATTATCAAACTCCGTAAAAGTCAAGTTTAGGTCTCTCACGGTTGATTTTATATTGATGTTCAAGATTAAATCTAGAAATCTTTAATGGCTTGTAATTTGACACCCGATGACATCATCACGACGTCACAGTAACAAGCACCACTGATTGAGATGAGGGTCGATTCATGCTGAAAGTTACAAGTTCATACCATAAACAATTTCGGAGATAACCCACAGATAGTAATTGTCCGAAAAAAAAGAAGGAAAGAAACAAGGAAGATTTATCAGAACAATTCTCAACAGATGTTGTGCCCGACCACTCAAATACACACTGTCAAAAGCTTAAACATGCTTAAAGCATGTTTAAGCTTTTCTGTTTATATATGCCCCAGATTGTGAGGCACGAAATGTTATTCAAAGATTTATCTTTCAGTTGAATAATGGTAAAACTTAAAAAAATCCTGATGACAACAATTGAAAACGTGAACCAGCGTATTGTATATTTTCAGTTTGTATATACATTTTGCACGATAATCATCAATTCCAAACTATTAAATGCATTTTCTACATGTATGTAACTACCAAATGCATTTTTCTTGAACTTTCCATGTTTGGCACACAGAAAAAGCGAACCAAATCAATGACGTTAAATTTCCAGTTGGGTTGTTCACTTTACTATGCATTTACATCCCCCACGTAATCAATAGCAAGGTATTCCATAAAACATCTTTTGTTTCAAAACAGTTTCATTAGATTTTCATCTGTATTCATGTTTTTATTTTGTATTGAAAATTGAAAACAAACCAATAATTAATGAGATGTGATGATTTTTGTACGTACATTGTAATATGTAATTCTGCAGATTGCACGGTAATTTAGACTTACATCCTTGCATTGGGATCGTGCTTTTCTGGTCGCCATCGATGCTGCAGATCACAACTCGTTTGTTGCAGTAGTCAGTCACTGCAATCTCACCAGGTTGACGAGCAGCAATCCCCCAAGCCCCATCAAACTCTCCTGGACCGCTTCCGATTCTACCAAACTCCCGATCGCAGCACAGCTTCCACTCAACTTCCACCACCACCTCACCCAGACTGATGCCACCAACACCCTCACTCTGCTTGAACTTCAGAAATGCAAGCCTGTTGTCAACTCTAGGCATTCTCTGATCTGCCAACAATTTCAAGTCTTTGCTGATTGTGGGATAGAGTGAGAGAAAGTCACTATCCGATGCAGTCCTTGTCACCTCTCTTGCTGTGTCTAGTGAATACTGAAATCTCTCCGCAGCCAAGCCCATATTTTTCTCACATTCGTCGAGTTTTTGTTCACGATCTGTTTGGATGTTTTTGATGTCATTAAGGATGCGATTTTCTTGAGCCGTTACCTCTGCTCGTATCTCAGCTGCTCTGTCCTGCACTTCTGTCCTGACCCTCTTAACTGTGACACCCAAATCTTCTTTTATTCTTGAGACTTCCTCTTGTGATTTTTTCAGTTCCTTCATTTCGTATCCAAGTGGAGAAAACAGTTCAGCTAACGACTGTTTGTAGGTCGATGCGGCTTGATTTCTGTCAATGTACGAGTGTTCTGGCTTGCAGTGGTCAATGACAGTACAATCTCGGCAGATCAACACTTCACATGTCATACAAAAGAACCTTGTCACTTCGCCTTCATGTTTCGGACATTTGGGATGTTGTTTCAGGTTTTCTTTTGTCAGTTTCACCTTTCCTTCACAAATGTCCTCCAAAGTAGCTATTGTGTGGCTCGATGTAGTAGCAATTCTTTTGTGTGAACTATGACAACGTGAGCAGATATTCTGTGCACAGTCCAGACACCGACGTGTTGCCTCATTGCCATCATCACATGTCTCACAGAGCAGCTTTGTGCCACCCGAACACACCAACTTTTCCTGCAGTTCCAATTCCTCTACCAGACCAATCAGATGAAAGTTTGTTTTAAGACCCTGCACCCCAACCTCAGGAAGTTCCGTCTCCTGTCGACACACCGGGCAAGGAATCGCTGTAGCACCCTGGTGCTTCGTGCTGCAGTATTTCAGCAGACATTGCTCACAAAAGTTATGGAGGCATTCCAATATCTTGGGCTGTTGATATCTCCCTTGACAGATGCTGCACTCAAGATGATGTCTGCTGATCGTCTCTAGTGCTGAACTTACTGCAGGTCCAGTCGCCATTTTTGTCTAATAAATGTGAAGAAAAATATTTAATTTAAAACATACATGTAACAGTGATAAAAATGTATCACTTGTATGTTTCCCTTTATGAGTAGGGACCACTAGTAATTGACAGGATGTGTTTTTGCATTTGAAATGAATCGATGTGTGCAGGGCTCTCAAGATGTAAATTGAAAAGAAACAAGTGCAAAATCATATCCTTATCCATAAACTGCACCTCCTCTTCAAAACATCACATATTTTGTTTTATTTCTGATGCTCCCTTGGATTTGTGATATTGTTCGTTAATTCGTTAACCCGGTAAGGCAGAAATCTGAAAGTGATTCTATCATCTAAATATGTTGCACTTTATCATAATATGTCAAATTTCTGAATGCAAAACATCAGCATGTACAAAGTTAAAGTTGTAAGATGCTCCATAGTGGCCCATGAATATTTATCTCCAGGGCTTCCTTTGTATTTAGAGCCACACAGCAAATATAGTAATTATCAATATCATGATGGACAGATATGGATACTCCAATCTTTCGCATTAATTTTTTTTGAGATGACATGACATGGTTTCGTCTTTATCGTTTTATTTTCATCTCCATTATCATGATAGCTGTCATTCGTTTTTAAAACATGTTAAAATAATAACAAAAAGTGTGCTGTACTTGTACGTTAAATCTATAGTCCTCTGCATCGAGTAATGCCATTAGCATTACTCGATATATAGTCGTGTTCCCTAACGTGGCGCACTTCGAAGCTTACCCGACTTTTCTCGTGTAGTGTTGCCAAACCTCTTTGTTGACAAACCTCAAATTTATGCAATGAAATACTAGTACTTTTACCTTATCAATGCTTGCTATTTTACCTCTGTGAACAATTTCAGTTTCATAAAATTTAATCCGAAATTCAAAAACGGTGGTGTCCGGAAATTGGGCAAAAATTGGCGGAGTGTTCCCTAACGTGGCGCACTTGAATAAATCTTTGAAAATTCCAAATTAACACTTACGAATTCCTATAAACTTGATAAATTCTGATAAATAATTAATATCTTTACTTACATACCCAGCCAAATGTTTGTCAGAAAATTATTTTCTTATTTTTCAGGGCATTTTCAAAGGGTTCACTTTGCACTTGAAAATAAAATCGGAAAATCACACCAAAATAGCTTTTCCTTCTAACATTGTTATGGGTAAATAAACTCGCGATTTATGAACAGGACCGTTTAGAACTTGATGAAATTTCACTTTCTGTGAAATTTCAGTTTAAAATTTTGCTCTAGCTAGGCGCTACCGGCGAAAAATCCAAGTGCGCCACGTTAGGGGCCGCGCCACGTTAGGGTACATCAACAATATTAACAGCCATACATGTACATGTACATGTAATAACAAGTACATGGAGTACATGTACATACACCCATGAACGTGGTTACAATACAACATGTACATTTAGTCACACACGTAAAAAATGCCTCATCAGAATTTCACAAAAAAATGCTTCTCCAGGGTTTAAGGAAGACAAACATTATTGTGCTCACATTTATCCGACGTTCTGGTTTGGATGCCAAAATGATGTTTCTGTTGAGTCGAAAGAAGCGAATCTTTAGGTTGATTAAATTTCAGGCTCGAAGCAATCAACGCGGAAGTAGACCTAGAAATCGAAGTGAAATGTAATATGAAGAGCGCCTCCAAGGGACAGCACGGCAATTTGTCCTATGCATGGTACAGTCATACAGTACTATAGATTGTGTTCGTGACTATCTCTTCGAAACTTTTACTGACTTACTCTAAATCTGGACCCCCCAAAAATGCATCTAAAATTAATAAAAAACAAAATAAGCCAATACCGAGGGCTTCATCAAGCGTCATCGCTAGTGCATTCGAATGTATTTTCAAGTTGTCTGCCCAACTCTCTCTCTTTGTAACCGTTGAGGGGGTAATTTGCAAGGGTTCACATAATGTTTCCTTGTTTTCCAATGAAACAAGGGATGGCCTTTTTGTTTGGCAGTGCACTCATGTTTTCCCATCTCATTAAAAAAAAAAGCTGCATTAGATAGGTATATATGTTTAATTTCCATTGTACACTTTTTTTTTGGTATTTAAAAAAAAAATTCTCCGATGCATTCATTGTTTTTGAAGGGGGGGGGGGCGGGGCCGCTGGATGGGTTGGGGAGGTTTTGAAAGTACCTACGGCCATTAAAAAACAAACACTTCCTATTGAGGATGTCTAAATGAGCCTGATTCCTGATGTGAGGGCGGTATAGGATCCGGAGAAGCTTCCATTTTCTTTTTCATTTTTCTTAAAAGTTACCGCCGCTCATTGCCGGAAATGGGATATCTGAGCCCCTTGTACTTTTTTTCTTAATTTTTTATAACTTCTAAACTGCATTAATTGCCGCATCTTTCCCAATATTATTGTGTCGGAAAACATGCATTTCTCATATGAATCACGGATGTTTTAAAGATTGATTCTCCGAGTCATTCTCTATGAAAAGTCTATTAGAGATGAATCACACAAAAAAGGAAAAGTGATATCCTATGAAACCAGTTGGTGTTATTACGGAGCCTTTGACTTTTATTCAATTTAAATAATTTTTGCAGAGCTCTGGTGAACCATATCTGGCAAGTGGCTGTATGATGACCTCTCTTGGATTAAACTTATAGAAAATTGACTTGTCAGTTCTTATCATTATTGTGCAGAATTTGGATATCTCATCATCATTCCGATTCCATTTGTTTGCAACTTGTTTGTTTTATGTTGCCACATCTAGGGCAGAACGTGGACGGAGATTCGGAGGCGATTCACACTCACAATTGCAAATGTACAATTGAAACCCGGCAAGTGCTTTTAATAACTTTCTTTTCGAAATTGAAAGAAGAGCCTCCACTTGGGGTTTAAAGATAAATACAACAATTCTCGTAACTTCTGTTCATGATAGCTCGAGTGTTACATGTATGTTGGCGACAATGCAAATATGAAAACAAGAGCTAAAACTTCCCTAAGCCGTTTTTTTTGTCACTGTAGGATTTCGTCTATATGATTATCATGAGTCGTAATTATCACATGATTTGTTTTCATGTGATGTTTTTGATCAAGTTTCTTAAAATATACCAACCCATTCATTGAAGCAGCTGAAATCAAATAATAAAACTAAGATTTGAAATGAGCTATGTCAAATCAACAGAGAATGATCCCATTTCGAGAAATTGTGTATTTACAGGCAGGTTAACAGCAATTAAACAAAATGTCTTTGACAGAACAATCAAACTTAATTTTGAATTTGACTCTACTTGACATATTTAAACAGTTTTTTAATTAACTCGAGATTTTTTGGGACACTGTGTCAATTTTTTTTGGACAGTTGAAAGAAATGTATGCATGTATTTTGATCATTGAGTTAAAAATTTACCAACACTGTTTTTTTTTTCTTTTCAATTGAAAGCTAATCCTTGTCATAAAATCCTTAGGAAAGCTTATACATTCCTATTGGTCAAGCACCCATCACGTGGGTTTAATTGAAACCCTGTAACAAATCGGGCCATCTCATTTTCAGTATTCAATATTTACAAACTGAGTCGCATGTAATCTAAAATTTACTCACAACATATAATCGTAGATGTCGAGAACATTCTAAATATATAATTGAACTGTCAGTTATTACATCAAACATTTCTCGTGACTTCTTTACAGTACATAATAACCTGAAGGTTATGCTGGTTTTAATTAAAGAAACAAAACAATTAACATCATGAGTTGTAATAATCACTGCATTAGTTTCCATGGAATGTTAAGTTTATTCCACTTTCTTCTCGAATTTCAATATCTCTACATAACTCAACCCATTGAGGCAACTGAAACCAACTAATAAAACCTTGTTTTGAAATAAGCGAAGTCAAAATCAGCATAGGATGATTATATTTCCTTAACTGCGTATTTACAGGCGGGCTGAATATAAATTAAAATTATGTTTTGTACCAGAACGATCAAGCTTAGCTGCACAAGAGACGCAATTTCTTGGCAAAGGCTTCTATCTGCTGTTGCAAGATGAACGTTTGCCAGAACTATTGTGGTGTAGGCCTGCTAGGGTTTCGGGCCGCATTCATTTTTGTTGATGTCTTTCTGGAGTTTCATTGTTTAAATAGTCTCTCACAGTTGGTCAATGAGCGTATATTGTGCACATAATTTTGCCAATGGGCTACAATTTGTATTCATATCACATTGACACCCTCAGTTGTCAGAACCAGTGTGTTGTTTGTTGAAAAACGAAATACATCTAACGTATGAGAGAAATTGATACTGAAACAAAACAGTAATCGTGATATTTCAAGTTTTCTCTATAATAGCGTTTTAATTTGTTTATCCTTATAGTACTTGAGCTGAGGATAAATGTTAATATACAGGAATAAAAAAAACTTCTTTGCCTTTAGGTTTTTCTTATAATTTGATTCTGAAATGCTTTTTAAAAATCATCACCAGATTTGATTCAATTTTTACTTTTTTTATTTTATATTTTTTCTTTTGAATGAACTGAAAAGGTGACTTATTATAATTATACTTGATGACATTTTGACAAGCCTTATCTTCAACCGCCCACTTTTGTGGACAAAATCGACCGATTGATCAGAAAGTCAAAATAATACAGGCAACACATGTACATGTAATCCAATACCGTATACTTTTTTTGTATAATACGTGATTTTCAATATTCTAAAACTTTTAATTCATTGTTGTGATAGGAGCGCTCTTTACTTTTTCTATCAACATGCCTCAAATGATGCGAAATTGACATGACTGATTACAATGTTGTATCACACCTGGTGATACATTTTGACCGAGGTCCAGTCAGCCACTGCCAGCTGCCCACCAGATGTGAATGTGATACCCCACGAGTAGTACAGACCCTGTGCGATGCACTGAAGGAAGCCACCTTGAGGGTCATAGTGGTGGATATGACCCGTGTTCCAACCATTGGACATTGCAACATAGATACCTGAGCTATCAGTGCATACACCGTAGCAGTTACATACTGGTTGACCATTGATGGTGGGTTTGAAGGTGCGTTTTGTAGTACCATTGCCACCGGCAATATCCACTGTCTGTGATGTATAGTCACTTATTATCGCTCGATCATTGCTGTCAAAAGCCAGAAAATAAGGTTTAATCTTGACTGGTATGGTATGAAGGAGCTCACCATCAGTGGGGCTGTGCACTGTCAATACCATCCTCGCCACATCTCCCACTGCAATGGTACCATCATTCTTGACAGCTACGCTCTGGAGGTTAACCGTGGTCTTACCAACCTCACTCGGCGGCACCGTTGGGAACTTGTATGCCAGCGTGTTGTCGCTGTTGAACACCTTCACATGGGATGCGCCTTCCTCAACAACCACCAAACGATTGTCGTTGCGTGTAGCTGCGATGCCGAGTGGACCTGTAGGGGGCACGATGTAAAAACAAGCAAAAATGGTCAATTTCAATCTGAATTGCAATTTATAAAAATATCAAAAATGAATCGGAGTGATAATTAATGTGTCCCTGGTCAACAAATATACATTGTCAAATATACATGTACATTTGCACGTGTACATGTTAGGGATATCACTGTGTCTAAAGGTATCCTGTACATATTGATGTTTAAGCCTTTCGATAATTGCATTTTGTATCTTTCAATGGGATAATAGGAAAAAAAACACTAAAAGACTCCTGACAACAGTTGAGAAATTAACCAGTGAACCAGTGTATCAGGAAAACTGATATTTCTTTCATTTTAAATGAATTTTTCTTGAACTTTCATCCTTTGAAAAAATGTCGTGAAACAAGCCAACAAATTTCATGAAAAAAAACAAGAGCAATCTAATTAAAAATGCGTGGGGACGGGGCAAAAACCCAAAATCAAACATGAGGTTCGATTTACAGTAGAGTTTGTTCAATTCATGACAAAAATAGCAAGGAAATTTAATGTTTGACATGGACGATGTATTTATATTTAAAAATCTCCATGTTAAGTAAACCAAGGTATTCACTAAAACATGTTTCGCATGAAATTTACTGTGATTTAGTTCGATCCGATTTCTTGAGGTAAATTAAAAACAGATAATGATGGGGAAAGAAATACATGTACGCGTGTATAATTTGAGAGATTGCAAAGCACGGTTATAAAAACTTACATCCTTGCATCGGGATCGTGCTTTTCTGGTTGCCATCGATGCTGCAGATCACAACTCGTTTGTTATAGTATTCAGTCACTGCAATCTCATCAGGTTGACGAGCAGCAATGTCCCAGGCCACATTGAACTCTCCTGGACCTCTTCCCTTTTTACCAAACTCCCGACACAGCTCCCATTTGCCTTCCGTCACCACCTCACCCAGACTGATGCCACCAATTCCCTCACTCTGCTTGAACTTGAGAAATGCAAGTCTGTGGTCAACTTTAGGCATACTCTGATCTGCCAGCAATTTTAAGTCTTTGCTGATTGTGGCATAGAGTGAGAGAAAGTCACTATCCGATTCAGTCTTTGTCACCTCTCTAGCTGTGTCTAGTGAATA